ATTTGATCAAAACACCTTATATGCATGTATGAAATTCTCAATAAATTTTTTTAAAGTTAAAAAAAAAAAACAAAGATATGCCGGGTGTGGTGGCACATGCCTTTAATCCCAGCACTCTGGAGGCAGAGGCAGGCAGATCCTCTGTGAGTTAGAGGTCAGCCTGGTCTACAGAGTGAGTTCTAGACAGCTGGAGCTATAGGTCTCAAAAAGACCAATAGAAACAAAACAAAACAAAATAAAAAACAAAAGAAAAAAAACAAAGATAATAGACATTTTTTGTAGTCCTGAGTATTGAAGAATTTCTAATGCTGAGGTGAAGCCCAGTGGTAGAGCATTTCTTAGGGTGAGTGAGACCTTAGGTTTATTTCTCTGCACTGCAAACCGAGAAAATAAAAACAAACATGGACATTCAAAAGTAAGAAAAGTAAATGTGTAACTGAATTAATAAAAGATGAATATACTTTACATATAAAGAGATCCTAGTTATAAATAATTAAAATAGCAACGACAATAGAAATAAGACAATGATGAAAATTTAAAGAAAATATAACTAGATGCTCAATATGAAACCTGTCAAATTTCCTCATAATCAAATAATTGAAACAAAATTACACTGAACTATCATGATTCACCTGTCAGATCCATCAATTACGATATGATTGTTATTGCACTGTGTATCACTGGCTGTTTCTCTGGGGAGCTGGGTACATTGAAAGTTGTATAATCCCCACAGAAGATATGATGATAATATGTCAAATTTTAATTGTCTGTGCCCATTGACTCAAAATGAATGTTGGGGGAATTTATCTTATATATATGCTTATGAGTGGTCATATATGTGATCATTATTTAATATAGTATTATTTATAATGATTAGTATTACATTCCATCTTAGCTAGTCCATATAAACCCTAAATTATTCCAATTTTCTGGCATATTAAACATATAACTCTCATTTTCAATTTTTCCTGGTAGGGTAATAAATTGCATATTAGTAATAGAAACAAATAGGAACAAGCCAAGCTCTACATTGTTAGGAAAAATGAATGCTAACTAAATAGACTTCATAGAATAGAAGCCCAATTTGAAAAAAAATAGGGAAACTACCTTTATGCGAACATCTCTGTAAGATTTAAATATCTATAACTATATGTAGACAGGTAATGGAGCTTATGGAAAAATTATAAAGAATCTGTTATTACTTAGTTATTTAGACAGAAAGAAGTGATATTAACATACAAGAAGTCAATAGTAGTGGCTTTTAATGGGGTGCAAAACAGGAATGTGGAACAGGAGACAGAATGCAAAGGAGCTTTCCACTGTGTGGTTGTACATTTTGAATACATTGCTTGCATTTGAACTAAATGACTTTATTCACTTGAAATATTGAAAACATCAGGGAACATTAAATAATTCATTATAATAACATTTGGTTTTGTGATTTTGCTAACATATGCTCTATGAAGTTTGAGAAGAAAATTATTTTGCCTTTTGTGGAAATATTGATCCAGAAAACTTTTAGGTTTATGTTAAATTCTATATCCAAAGGAATCTACTATTATAAATATGTATATGTTGCATGTTCTTCATGGCTGATTCTCCATAAAATGACGTTTATTTTTTTTCTTTTTTGTAGGTAGAGGACGAAAGGTAAGTTCTTATTTGTTTAATTTCATTTTCATAAGTAAAATTCTTCTAAGGCTGGCCAGCTTTGTTGTGAAATGTTAGAAATCATTATATAGATCACAAAATAGCATGCAAATATATTGTGAACACAAATGCACCCAGTTCAGGCACCTCTTAGAGATGACAGAGGGCACGACCTACTTCCTTTAGAATTAATTTGTGTCCTTTCATCCTGCAGTATAGGAGACTGAACTAAGGATTTTACATATACTAGGCAAACATTTTACCCCTGAGCTTCTTACTCAGCCCAGCTAGTTTTATTTATATGTCCATTTCTGCCAGAAAATTTTGAACTGTATAGTGACTGAGGACATGCTCTATTAACATTTGCATCCTGGTATTCAGCACTGTACTTAATATCTACATTATACCTATTAGAAACTTGCACATTTGCTGGCAGGGACAGATGGAGTGGTGAGAGGAAAGAAGGAAGGAAGAAAAGAAGGAAGAAGGAAGGCAAGCAAGGAAAGAAGTTCCCTTTCAACGAAGTGATTCTTCATCAGTTGGATGAGAAATAAAGATCCAAAATAAATGGGAAACTATATCAGAACACGCTGCTTGCCCTCTTCCTTTCTCCATCACCTTCTAGGGCTTGGAATCTTTTTCTGAAGAGTTTCATGTTCATGAGGATAACAATGGGGTACAGTTATGACTCTAGCACAGCTGGCCAGATTGGCTACTTGTCCTCTGGACGAAAGTAGTCCCGCTCAGTAGAGTCCTTTACCTCTCTCATTGCTGTTTTCCTGGTTCTCTGTAACCTTATGACCACTGCTTATGACAGGCCTTATGACAGTTGCTTCAATCCTGTCTAAATAGAGTGGGTACAGGGATTAAGAGAGTAGAAATGAGCAATGACTCCAGTTTTCATGGCAGATAGCAGACAAATGACAAGATAATTTAATTTTTGTGCATGATAGAGTTTTATAGAGGAAGTCATCAGACAATCAGGTAAAGCAAAGCTACAATATTTTGATAAATAAGAATGATGCTGTCAGCGGGAGAGCCTCCCCAGCTTAGCACTTTTGAGGTCAGAGAACGTTGCCACAAATAAGCCTCATTTGATACACATATAAGTAAATCTATGTAAATGTGTGTCAAAGGAGAATGACTGCAAACAATAGTTCTCTTAATTTATATTTGAAAACTAGAACACACTTAAACTTAAAAGTGAAAATAAACCAGATCGTTACATGACAGATGGATGGGTGAACAGAGATTAGATAGAAAGATAGGGAGATGATAGATGGAGATGATAGATGAAGAAACCTGTGAAATAGGCCAATAGAAACTAATAGAATGATTTTTTCTAGTCAATCATTAGCTACCCAGCTTGCTGAGAGGCAGCTGTTAGGCTGCATCATTTACTGTAGTGTGAAGAACTGGTGGTGGGATGCACTCAGAGAAGCTGCCAGTTTACCTTCTAATTATGTAACACTATTTTCATGATTTGTTTTTACTTATCATATATCAGAAGAACAGAAGAACAGGTGAATGTTAGAAAATGAATTTTGTTCCTGATTTATACCTATAGTGCTTTTTTACTATTTATTTATCTGTCATCCATCCATATTAACCCCGAGTAACCACTGCCTTTTATATTTAAATATCTTTACATGGGTCAAATGGTGCACATGTTGCAAAAGACGAGGGAAAAACTGTCTCCATCCTATAAAAGATGTATTACAAATGCAGGGACAGCCTATAAAAATTATAAAAATGCCCAAGTGGCACGAATTAATATGTAAATGTATTTCTCATCTGAGCATATGCATTTTATGTTTCTCAGTGTATATGAAAATTCAGTTCAGTAAAATTATTAAAGTCCCCATTTCACATAAGTGAACTTACTGAAAACTGGTACTAATAAAATCAGCGGAAACAATACATCTCTGAATTATCTCCAAATTAAAAAGTAGCATAGAAGCACTAGGACATTTACTATCAGAAGTAGGTAAATGGACACTTAATATCTTATCACATACTGTGGAACATTAGCATGGTTTAAAAGACATCAGGAAGTCTATGATTTAGTTAAGAAAGATATCAGAGTTGCATTCTTTTGACTACAAATACAAGCAAAATCTGTATTTTACTTATAAATTTCTTAGAGACCAAACCCACAACTTTTCTTGCAAGCCATTCTGTCTCTCACTGTGACTCAAACGATTTTGACTTGCTTTTCCACTCGTGTTCCAGAAGGAACAGCTTCCAGTCGCACTAAGTCCTTATTCACTGGGCAGAGATTTAGATACTTTTCCTAAGCAATTCAAGTTCTTTCAGAATTTCAAAGAAATTTATTCCCTGATAGGTCTTACAGTGTTAATTCTTGTTCATTTGATTTTTTTTTTTTTAGTGGAAATATCCAGTTTAGAGCTTAGCAGAGGTGACAATGCCGACATCACTTGAATACAGGTTGCTAGTTTTCTGTTCTCATTGTTAACATTTTTAGGAACTCCTGGTGTGTACATTTTCTAGAGGGACATAGAGTGCTATGTTAATAATAAAGTATCACTTATATTTCACTAATTGGGCTTTTAAAACCTTTCTAGGGACAAAAAGGAGAGCCTGGATTAGTGCCTGTTGTAAGTATATGTGCATATGAATGTGTCTATTATTTTCAAATATAACTGGAGTGTAGTTGTATATGATTACTTCCTCTCAAAAAATGAAGCTATTTTATAGTCAAACTTTCAATACAACATAAGGAAGACAAAATTTAGTGTTAGTTGATATGATGTCTAATGTTCTGTGATCTTAATTTTTTATAGCCCCATGACTGACATTTTTGGTTTTAAAACATCAAATGTATTGCCTGGTCATACATTGGTTGTGAATATTAATATTGGTGGTTTAATGTTTTATATTTTTAGAATTATGTCATGTCTTGATCCTAATTGAAATTAGGATCAAACAATTGAAATTGTTTCTTCAGAATTCTTAGGACATCTTTAGCTATGTACGTGATCAGAAAGCACACCACTGACAGGATGAAATTCCCTCAGTCATCAGTTTCATAGGTTTTAAAGTAGTTATCATAGTCTGTCTGGAGAAAAGACTATACATGATGATTTATTTGATAGCATATACACTTATGCTTTGCCAGAAATCTTATTTTCTCAAAGGTTACTTTAAAAGTAAATAATTACCATAGTTTACCTTTTTTCATATTTACTATGTCTTATATTCAAAATGCTTTTCAAATATGTATTTGTCTATACAATTCTATGACTGAGGTCCTTTGTAATCACCATTTTGCATTTGAGTCTCCATATAAGGTTCCATTTTAAGAAATTTAAGTAAGCACAGAAAGAAAAAATAATCAGTCCAAGGTCAGGCAATTGGAAAGGAAGAATGCAAAGATTTGAACCCCATCCTCTTGGTTTCAATCTGGGTGCTTGTAATCTCCACATAGCATTGTGTTTCTATATTAGAGTTCAAATTAGGTAATAGTTTGACTCTTAAATTAGAGGAAACATCACTGATTGAGAATCTATGTCTGTTTAGAAATTCACAAGGTTTAGTTTTATTGATTTGACTATTGAATTTTCTATGTGTCTTACAAATTTTGCCTTTACAAATTCTCTTGCTTATTGTTTAGGTAACAGGTATACGTGGTCGTCCAGGACCAGCAGTAAGTACTTTCTTCCAGTGTTTGTTGTGCTATTTTTTTTTTCAAAATACTGAACATCTTTATTGGCAAGCCGACCATGGGAACACAAAGCAAAGATGCTTGGATTTTCAAAACATTTTAGAAGGCAGGGAAGAGGAGGGAGTGTGACTTTAGAAAAAACCCATATGAAAATCTACCACAGCAAACTTAATTTTATCCCATGTGTTGGTTTTCCTATTGGTAAAGGGCAGAGCAATATATGCTTACATTGTTAATTTTTGACTGACCTTGTACTTGAAATTAGAGTATACTGATCTGTTGACTGATTAAAGATACTTATTTATTTAAATAATGTGTTGCAATAGAATTTGAAACATATCAGCTTAGTTTTAAATATTTCAGGTTTGTATTATCAAAGGCATTCTTAAGTAACTATATGGATAATACATACTTACATAGTTCTTGTAAATCTCGAAACACTTCAGATCTTCTTAAATAAAATACCAAAATAGCTCTAATGGGCCCATTTTAGCCCTTTGGAAGCTTTTGCCTTTGTACCATTCTATTGGGAAGGGCACGATAACAAGGTCCATAGTTCTTGCTACTCAGGAGGTGGAGGCAGGAGGATCTTTTGAATCAAAGAGTTCAGGGTGAATCCAGGAAACATATTTTAATAAAAAGAAAGAATTGCTGTTTATTAAACCATGTAAATCTGCAATCTAATATTTATAGCTCAACTAAAATTATCTTTTAAAGGAAATACCATCTACCACCTGCAGCTATACTTTCTCAGAAAAGGAAAAGAAAAAGCCAAATATTTTAAGTTACTACCCAATATCCACAATTTAGAAATAAAATATTTGAAACTAAGGCACAAACCGTGGCAATTCTAATTTGAGAAATTGTAGATGGACTTTATATAAACAGTGGAAAGAATGAGGTCCTTATGTCTTTAAGTCCTTGAATGTACCTGAAGTAGCAGTAGAGTGAAAGACTTCTCCCTCCATTGTTTCCAGCAGCCGCTAGACCAGTGAAGAGCGGTCTAGGGCACTGTGGACCAAATTAAACTTACGCATTCCCACAGATAGTTGATAATTTAGAATTTGCACATTCATGTGTTTCTACAAATATGAACTTTAAATTTTTGGCCAAGTACTTGATGACCAAAGCTTTCACTGGGAGAAGTCTGTGGAAACGTTCTTTAAAAGTTTGCAATTGCTAGCTAAGCTAATATGTTTAGCTTGTCTAACTCCCCGATCTTCTGTGGCACCTAATACTTAGTAGATCTTCAAACTACACTGCTAAAACCGTCAGCAAGTCATATGTATGTAGAATGTTCATATGTATGTAGAACGTTCATATGTACAGGCTGTGTTTTCCATAGTCTTTAATTGCTCTAAATTTTAAAATGAGATGTTTTTTTCCACTGAAAACATGTTTATTTTTATTGGATATTTGCATAATGTCTTTTTATATTTTTATTGAATTTTTGTGTATTTCTGCAACATCTTAACCATGTATATACTCGGTCTACCCATCAACACCCTTCCATAGCCTCTCCAACAGATTTTATGCATTCTGTCATTTATATTAAGGCCTATCGAGTCAAGTTGGTATCCCTAGATGTCCCTCAGTACAAGTTCATCCACTCGTGTCTAGTAATCCTACCTAGAATCACTCCTCTTAAAGATCAGATCTCCCTCACCCACCAGTTATCAGCTGTTAATAGTTTTTCAGCTAAGATTGAGACCTGTTGTCTATTTCCCCAGTTCTTTGTTGGGTTTTTGTCTGAGCTTGTATGGGTCTTGTGCATGCTGACACCATTGGTGTAGATTCATGAGCAAGGTCTCAGGAGCCTGTAAGACTCTGTTTCTATATGGTCATGACTGCTCCCACCCCAGGGGACTCTTACTATCTTTCTGCCCCTTCTTCTGCAATGGTCCCTGAGCCCTGGGTGAGTGGAGTTTAATACAGGTGTCCTGTCCAAGGGCCCACACTCTGCAGACAATTATTGTCTACACTTTGGCCATTTGTGCACTTTTATGTTTGTTGCTCTCTGTTGCATGGGAAACTTCATTGATGAGAGTTGAGAGATATATTAGTATTGTCTCTACCCCTTGTTCCATTGTGTTCCATGAGCTTTAGGTGTAGAGGTTCCATTGTAGATGTGTTACTTAGGGTTGGATATTTCACAGACTCTTGTTCTCTGTGTGTGACCAGTTGTGGAACTCTTATGTATTCTTATATTTACAGACAAGCATGTCAGTCACTAGGCCTCAAAGAAGTTTCTTTGCAACAGACAGGGACTAGTAAAAATGTGATATTTTTATTTCAATGTTCTTTTGCCAAATAAATTCTTAAAATGAAAACATTCAGAAATGTTTAAAAGCATAATCATCATTTTCTATTTTAGGGCCCCCCAGGATCACAAGGGCCAAGAGGGGATCGAGGCCCAAAAGGAAGACCGGTAAGTTGACAAGGGTTTCCTTTCTCCAATGACTATCAATTAAGCCAGTTAACACATCCTAAGTGCAGGGAGGGTCCAGAGGCACTGATAATCCTCTATCACTTAGATTTAAGTGCTACAAAAAATTTAGGTCATGAAATGATCATGTACTTCTCCACATTCAGAGAAAATTATTACATGACAATAATTGCCAACCATTTTACTAGATAGCGCAATCAACATTTCTTTGTTCTTTATAAAGTCAAATTAAGGTCAAGTAAAATAAGGATACTTAGAGTTCAGAAGTTGTCATTCATGAGTAAACAATGCCAAGGATGAAGTAAAATGCCTTGACTTGTGTTTGCTGTAGAAATATCCAAGCTAAATAGAAGAAAAAGAAATTATTAGTGAATAGAATTTACTTTCAATTGGTTACACAGCAAATTTGTTTCTTGGATAATAACCTGCTTTTTCTACTGAGAGCGGTTACAGAGATTTTGAAGAATTGAAAAAAATCGACACTATTATGAGACCTAGGTTCAAATCTCAGTACCCACACAGCAACAAACAATTGTCTGTAACTCCAGTTCCATGGGATCCAACACCCTCTCCTGTTTTCCTTGGGCATTGATCGACACAGGTATACTTACATACATATGGGCATAACACTCATGAATTTTAAATTTTTAAATGGGAGGAATAGATAATACAGATAAGCAAGGAGGCAGCAGGCAGCTTTGAAAATACAAATAACAACAAAACGTATTTTAGATCGTAGGAGCTCTTGTTCCTAGTTTTTTACTTTTTAAAATGCTTATACACATTTAATGGAGTGGAGAATGTGATATTAATAATTTTTCGGAAATGGAGACATAGTTAGAGATGGAATTTGTAGACCTACAGGTGAATGACAGTGCCCTAAAGCAGTTGGGGCCCTACGGAGGCAGCAAGTTTGCATTGACATAAGTTGTGCCCTATGCATTGCTTTTCTGTGGAGTTTCTTCACTAGTATTTGTAGTTATGTGAGCTCTCCAGATGTTGAGAGAGCTGTGTGATAGAAGCTGGGTGATCATACAGAACAGATTTTACATCAGTGTGCTTGTACATTATAAGTAGTTGATAACACTGGGCCTTGAACTTAGTTGGAAGTTGCTATAGGAATATGGGTTACACCTCTAGAATTCTAGGTTAGAATCTAATGAGTCTAATCTCCAAATCCTTCTGCCTGCTTTCATATTCAATGAGGTAGTTGACTTCCTATCTTAGGCCTGAGGTATTAAATATTGGTCAGGTATAATACTGTATGTTTTTGTGTATGAAAAGAGTAGAGAGCCGTTATTTATGAGAACATAGGATAGTCCTATCAGATATCCTACTAGGAAACCCATTCTTCTGTTAATCCTAGCAGTAGTGATGCTAGGCATTGGATCTTTTAAATTCATTTCTTCTGATTTGTAAATTACTGATTTCCCTCCCTGTTGTAAATATCACTGATTTCTGGCTACTAACATGTTACTACAGAATACCCATAGATAGAAGGTTTTGTTTCAGAACCCAAGCTGCCTAGGAGATACTGAGTTGGATTAAGTTTTTTACTGTCATTATACAGAGTTTTATTATAATCACAGATACTATTTTTCACCTCCAACTTCCATTACCACCAAACAGTACTGAAGCCTCAACATCATGATTTCTCAACCTCAGCACTACTGGTGTTTTGAACTAAATGATTCATTATGCATTGTGGGATATTTGTCAGCTGTACCCACTAGATGCAAGTAGCAAACCTTATCCCTCTTCTAAGTGTGGCAAATAAAATGTCTCGATGCTGCTAAATCCAGGCAAAATTGCACTGGATCGAGAACTGACATAGAAAAACTATCAGGAAGACTTCAGTTTTGGATGGTGATCATAAAGATTCTCTATCATCAGAAGTCCTCAGTTTAGATTGTGTTGTCCAGGTCACTTCACAGTGATAGACTGGCAACTTAACCAGGAGATGGTCAGTTTGCACATGACTTATACATATTATGTCCTCACTTTTACAGTGGAAAATTGGCCATTTATCATCAGCTGTAATAGTCTATCATGTATGCGCATACGTGTTATATGTGAAAGTGTGTGTGATGATCTTAAACTAACAAACAGCAAACAAACTTTGAGATTGTGCAGCAATTCTCTATTTGAGGCTGTCTAAAGGTTGCCACCTAGTGGCCATCGACAAGAACTTTTTAATTGCAGTTGGAAGTCAAGAGAATGTGTACTGGGGGTTGGGAGAAAATGATAAGTAGAACATTTGCTTTAGTTTGAAAATTGTGTTCAGTTCACTTGGAAATGTGAAAATGTACTTTTATTGACCTCAGAATAGTAATTTTCAATATTTCTCAGTAAAATGCCTACACTTTTTTTTAATTTTTAAAAAATGTTTATTTTTTTATTTTATATGTATGGGTGTTATGCCTGCATGTATGTAAGTGAACCCGTGCCATGCAGTGTCCATGGAAGACAGAAGAGGTCATTAGATCCTCTGGAACTGGAGTTACTGACAGTTGTTAGCTACCATGTGGGTGCTGGCATTCGAACCTGGGTCTTCTGCAAAACAGCTAGTGCTCTTAATCACTGAGGCATCTCTCCAGTCCCCTTAAAAAATAAAAAAAAAATCTATTATTTTATTTTATGTATATGAGTATATTTCCTGCATTTATGTAAGTGCATCTGTGTTGTACAATGCCTACGGAGGTCAGAAGAGGGCGTTGGATTCCCTGGAAGTTACAGATAGATGGCTGTTAGTTGCCATGTGGGTGCTGGGATTCAAACTCAGGTCTTCTGTAAGAGTAGTCAGTGCTCTTAACTGCTAAGCCATTTCTCACTTATAATCTCACTTAGTTTTAGAAACTTTTCATAAATTTTTATTAATTTAAATCTCAGTTTGTGTTAGACTAACATATCAGAGCTTTCTTAAATGTATTATTTTTATTTTATGTGTATGAATGCACTGCCTGCATATGTTTAAGTGCACCCTGTCATGCAATGCCCACAGAGGTAAGAAGAGGGTGTCAGATACCCTGGAACTGGAGTAATGGACAGATGTTAGCTACCATGTGGGTTTTGGGAATTGAACCCAGGTCCTCTGTAAGAGCAGCCAGTTCTCTTAACCACTGAGCTTTCTTTCCAGGCTCACATCGGTGCTTTATAAAGGGAATTCTGGTAAGATATGGAAGGAATCCTGAAATCAATGCAGATATAGCCTGTCTTTGGATCAGACTTTGATGTCTGATCAATATTAATCACAGAATATATAAGCAACTTGGAATATTAATATTAATCAAATGTATGTCTACTCATAGGGGAAATAATTGTAATTTTATATTTACTTTAGAAATGCTTTTAGGAGTCACATTTTTGTTTCAGTTAACTATTTGTGTATGTAAAATCATTATCATTTAGCCATTAAATTTTAAAAGAACCCATAATCAGTTTTTCACAAATGATTCTGAATAAACCCAGTGCTACCTGGTCTGTTCCAGCATCAAAGGTGCAGTCACATTGTGTGACCCTGGGGTCTTAGATAACACCTGAAATCATCTCCATTTTGTATTACATAAAGAACATAGTGCACTGCCAGTGGATTAGGAGCCAGAGGGGCTGATCTTTAAAATATGGGAATACTTTCCAAGAAAGCATGCTTTTAAAATATAAATTTCCTAGGCTATTTTTTATGTCTGCTTTGAATACATAAATGTTCTTTAGCCAACTATTAAAGACACAAATGTTTGAGTATGTTGGAATATATTACCAACATCATAAGAGCTATTAACCTACCCTTCTTCAAACCATCTTATGTGAACTAGCCTCTCTACCCACTTGCTTTCGTCCCGCTTTCTTGCTCTGCATTGTTGATTCATGTTTGAGTCACTTAGGGGCGTCTTTCACTACCAAGTACTAATTTGTCATTTTTCTCAATCCCTACTTTTAATGATTGAAAATGAAATTGTCTTTGTTCCTTTGTTTCCTTTCAAAGTTTGTTAAGACTTTGAAGATTAACAAGCTAGAACATTCTTCAGAAGTCTGCTGGGAATGATGAGGTTGGGACGGAGCTTTTCCAGAACGGAGGATGTGGCTGTTCCCCAAGCTGCCCTCAGAATGTGGGTTAGGAGAAGGGTGGGTTTGGCAACCAGGAATCATTTTCACTTCTCCGAGAACCAGACTTGGCTGGATCACAGTGCCTTTGCCTCTGATTCCTCATTGGTCTAGTCAGCCTATTAGGGTGGGATGGAAAATAAAATGTGCCAGACTTAAGGTAAAGAAGGCTGAAATGTGGATCTATCATCTATATGTATTGGAAGTCAACTATGCACCAGAAACTACGTAAGCTTCAAGTAATTGGAAAAATGGAATAAATCCACAAATTCTAGTCAAGGGACCTTTACATTTTGCGGAGAGATGGGGTAGAAAACAGTTTACGCAGGCACATACATAATTAAAAATAATACAAGACAGACAAGTGAATTTAGAAATTGTTTATTAAATACACATTAGCAACAAACTCTACCAAATAGAGCCCATTCTATAACATTGCTAAATTGAAATGATTCTATAATTATTCGAAGAAAACAGAGTCTTGGCGATTTAACATATTATGTACAATTCTTACCTAGACTGTGTCCCAGTAGTAGAAGCTCTGGCCAGTGCTGAAATTGGCAGTGTTAGCTTAACTGATGAAATGCTACAACTGTTTAGATTGTCAGTCGTAATTATTATGATCATGTAGAAGTCTGTGCTTCAGCTTTCTGCTAGGCTCATATTGGAAGTGGGTTCTAATTTCCACTGTTCCCCCCCCCCCCAGGGTCCTCGTGGTCCTCAGGGAATTGATGGAGAACCAGGTGTTCCTGGTCAACCTGGTTCTCCAGGGCCTCCTGGACATCCGTCTCATCCAGGACCTGATGGCATGAGCAGGGTGAGTTGTGTGTACTTACTGCTCAGCATCATAATTATGTGATATATAAATTGGTAAATCATGGTTATGATGTTAGGCTGTATCAATCAGTTCAGAGGATACCACTTTACTGTAAGAACCATGGGGTGAATGCAGACCTACTATGGACAACATTGAGACTAACAAATTTATAGTGAGTTGTTGGAAAATTCGAAGTAATTTTCTATGGTGCTGCTTCAAATTCTTTGTTTTCTCAACAATAGTGCTAGATTTCAAAAACCTTTGTCTTTTTGGTAATGCTCAGGGGAAAATTTAGTTTATGCAGTGAACTAAATAGCATGCATCTCCATCCTGTTTTTAAATGCTGAAAAAACAAGCCTTTTGTCCTCCCAAGAAAGAGTGACATAGCCATGATGAGGCAAAGAGAAGGCACTGTGTGGATATGTGGGGTTGTTCTTTTTGTTGCTTTGACAAATACTTGAGAGAAGCTATTTAAAGGAAGGAGGCATTTTTTTAGCTTACAGGTTGAGAGGTTTCATTCCACGGTCACTGACTCCATTGTTTCTGGGCCTGTTCTGGGACAGAGAATCATGACGGAATTGTATGGTGGAACAAATATTTTGCTTCACTATGGCCAGGAAGCAGACAGACAGAGAAGGGATCTGGACAATATACAGACCCCAAGAACATGTCCTCAATGACTTCTTTTCTCTCAGTAGGTCCCACTTCTGAAAGTTTCCATTACCTCCCATTAGTGCTATTAAATCAGGAGACTACCAATGGATGAATTCATTGATGAGGAAGAGTTCTCAGGGTCCAGTCACTCCCCAAATGTCTATTTGTGAAGATCCCATTGGGGATCAAACTTCTAAAATAGAAGTCTTTGGGGGGGGGACAATCCAAACTTAAACCATAGCAACATTAAAATATTTCTTAAAATTTAATTTCCTACTTTAACAACAAAAAAATTTTCCTCTCTTTAGCTTCCCCACTGAATTCTTGGTGGAGAATACACAGGGTATTTAGGAGTAGATTGCATAGCACAAGGGAGTCTGATTGCTGTTTTTGTTTCACCAGTTAAGGCATCTATTTCTCAAATGATTGAAGAATTGCCAATTTATTTTTAAACAATACATACCACACATTTCCCCCAGTAAAATCTGGAAATTAATGCTGAGATGAACAATTGTGATCAATTTGATTGACAGAGTAGTTTTAAGGTCATAGAGAATAGGAAAAACTGTTCCCAGTTCGCACTCTAGTCAGAGATTCATTTAAATGATTTTATAAAATTTTTTACAACTTACATAAATGTATTTTTTTAGCTTACTTGCTGTGAACAAGGAAAGAAGATTGTTTACTTAAAATAGCCTGAAATAAAATCTGGCATCTTTAGAATAAATATTTAAAATGTGTCTTTTAGGCTTTGTTCAAATGTTCAACATGTTCTAATTGGGGAGGGGGGTGAACTGAAGAGACCAGAGCCTGTAAATGACAAGATTGAGAGCCTGTCAAGAAGATCTGTGCTTTTGCTGGGTCTCAGACTTGGGTGCCAGCAGCAGCCATTCTAAACAGCATACTTATAAAATGCTCTGGGGAAGGATGGTCCATCTAAAACACACACAATAAAAAACAGCTTGAATTTTTTCCCATGCTTTAAAGTCAGATGTTTAAATGGTTTCTTAGAAAAGTTGTTCTATAAGAATTGCAGAGTGTGCACAGTTCTCACTATTAGAAATATGCTGATGTGCATCTTTTACGGTGGAAATCATATCAACACTTTGCTTTTACAGCCCTTTTCAGCTCAGATGGCTGGTTTGGATGAAAAATCTGGACTTGGGAGTCAAGTAGGACTGATGCCTGGCTCTGTGGTAAGCATACATGCTAAGAAATAAAATCTTGGGATGGTGAGATAGCTCAGCCAGTAAATGCATTTGCTGCCAAACCTGAGGATCTGAGTCCAATTCCTCTGAACATATAGGATAGGAGAGAACAGGCTCTTTCCTGCATGTCCCCTGACCTCCACACATATAGCACCACTTGTACGTGCATAGCCCTCACCCCCAAAATAATAAATAAATAATAATGTGAAAAATAAATAAAATGCTTTTGAATATATCCATTAATCCATTTAATTTATCTAGCAAATCCTACCCTGTGGCATTTAAAAACACAGAGGTGTCCCACTCATACTTGTGCAAAGCATTTGTGAGCATCTATAAAGGTTCGTCTGCACATTTCATTTAGTACTGAGGAAGATAACAGATTTCAAGTTGTAACTACCACCCATACAACAAAGACTGTTCCTCTGTAATTAAAAAAGCAACATTCTATTTAGAAAAACTGACTTGGATGAATTTTGAAATAGATAGTCTATGTCAACATTCTTGAGTTCCTGCTTGTCTTGATATACTCTAGCTGTTTCATTCAAAAAAACCTCTGTGATTTCCTTATTGGTTTTCTTTTATCACCTCTTCCCATTTTCTTGGGTTAATTCTTTCTTTCTTTCCTCCTCCTCCTCCATTTCTTCCTCCTCCTCCTCTTCCTCCTCCTTCTCCTCCTCCTCCTCCTCCTCCTCCGGTCTTGCTTTGTAGCCCAGGCTAGTCTAGAACTTGCAGTCCTCCTACAACAACCTCCTAAGTTGGCTGATTCCTTTACCTGTCTATTATAAGAAATGCAATCTCAAAGAATGAATGAACACTTTTCAAACCAACTTACCCATGCTTCTTGGTCATAACATAATTCAAAATTCTTCCACCTTAATGGAATCTCAGACAGCAAGAAATAAAGTCAAGTCTCATAGGTAAAGTCCTCTCTACCCACCCTGAAGGCCAGCATTATGATAACTTAAAAAGTATTTGTGCTTTCTATATTACCAGTAGTATGGTGTCATTCACTGATTATCTTGGGATCGTTTTCTAAGATGTCTGATATTTTACCCATTTGAAGTTTGAATTACATATATATGTTTATACTAGTTTATTATACCTTTATGAATTCATAATTAAAAAATTATTTTATGTGCATGAATGCATTGTCTGCATGTATATAAATGCACTCATGTCATGCAGTGCCATGGAGGTCCTCAGATTCCCCTGGAATTGGAGTTAAGGATGGTTCGTAGCCTCCATGTGGGTGCTGGGAATCAAACCCGGGTCCTCTGCAAGAGCAGTCAGTGCTCTTAACCACTGAGCCATATCTCCAGTCCCATGAATTTATAATTTTTAACTTAAAATTTTTTCTATTAACATACATTACCTGCTCATAATGGACTTCCTTATGACATTTTATACATGTACATAAGGTATTTTGATCATGTTCATTCCCCATTTCCCCCGTCTTTACCTACTCCTGTTAATGCCCTTCATCTTCCCAACCAACCACCTTCCACTTTCATGTTTTTGAAAGTGCTTTTGTTTTCTTAGTAGCTAAAATATATAATGAGCTAAAAATAAAATTTAATATAATTTTACTTGATTAAACTTGATTTTAGTTAAACCAATTTTATTTTACAAGATCTGTCTGACATTTAAAAAATTGCATAGTCATTATATAGTATTAAGTGTTTAAGTTTTGCTTTCTTTGGGGAGAGGCAGGGTCTCTCTGTAGCCCATGCTGGACTGGAACTAGCTCTGTAGACCAGACTGGCCTGGATCTGCCTGCCTCTGCCTGGGGAGTGCTGGGATTAAAGGCCTGCAACCACATTTCCTTTTACATTCCTTTTCTTGTGCCTCAGGTAATCCTTTCTTGTTTAGATGAGAGTAGCCTATGTTTATACATTCAATGTATGTTAAGAAAGACATACTCCAGAAAACTCAGTGACCAGATAACTTTAAACTGATACAGAAAATAATCTAGCCAATACTGCTGGTTTCATAAACTTTTAAGTCAGCTTGGTCATTTAAGCCTGCCGTGAAGCTGAAGCATCTAGCAGGCTGCCGATACGCACTTTATGCCTGCCAAGATTCTCCCTTCTTCAGATGTTTCAGTTTATCAGAACCATCCTTTGAACATGTGTGGGTCCTTGTCCTAAAGACACTTGTTGTGCACAGGCATGTCGTTTATTTGTCTTTATGGCACAGAGGGTATGTATGAAATCATCCCATATATCACTCAAGCTTTAATGTCCCCGAGTCTGTCTGCCTTCCAGATGAGCACAAATGGGGATGTCATGAAGCCTCTCTGATGAAGCTTCACTTTCCAAATTCTAAAGCACATTCAACATGTTAAAAAAATGAATTGCTATGAATAGGCGGTAACATTTTTCTCTTTCTTCTCATTTATTTTTAAGGGTCCTGTTGGTCCAAGGGGACCTCAAGGTTTACAAGGACAGCAAGTAAGTATTTTTATAATTAAATTATGTACTGCAGTGAAAAAAGAGTACAAATAAGGTCCATATTTCATGACGATTTGGGGCTGAACTTTGCATAATTATATGCTCACTTAGAATGGTCTCTACTAAATCTCACCCACTTAGAAACATACGCAGCACTGTGTGTGGTATGAGTGAATAGATGTATGCTTCACATGCTTATGTGGACACACGTGTGTGTTGGTATGTTTGTAACTGTGTGTATGTGTATGTGGAGACCAGTGACTGAAGTCATCTGTGACTTTGATCACTGTTCTATTTACTGAGGCAGTTTGTCTTGATGAATACAGAGCTTACCAATTTGGCAAGTCTGGCTCGTTAGCTTGCTTTTTTAGTTAGACAGCTAGTTAGCTGTCTTCTCTCAAACACTGGGATTATAGGCTGTTAACCACGCCTGACCAACTTTTACATGTGTGCTAGGGATCCAAACTCCAGTCCTCATGGCAAGTGTTTATTCCACTGAGATGTCTCCTCGGCCCTCAAAGTTTTTTGATGGCCCTAAATTTGTATCATATTATTTCTCTATGTGATCAGCCTCTAACACTAAGAGTTATGTGTCCTTGCTTCTGAAATCTGATCATTATCTTATGTCATGATGAAAATTCCCATAATTGAATATTGCCAACTCTCAGGCTATTCAATCAAATACATACAAGGTCATGCTCATGTAGTATTATGATGAATTAAAGCCAAGGTAATTATTATGTGGACTCTTTAAGAAGAACATGATGCCATTTACTGCTTTTCATGCCTATCAAACACAGAAAAATTGAATTAGAATTTTAATTTTTCTAGTGGCTTAATAGGCATTAGGAAATAATGCTTTAAAAAATCTTTTACCCAGTCAAGGTTGCCACATTTTTATCATCAAGTGTGTGGAATTTTACTTCATTACATTGCTGAACAGAAAGGTAGTTGATGACAAAGTGATGTTGATGATAAGAGCCACTGGCTAAGCACCACTCTCTGTTAGCACCATTCTAGACCCAATGTGCATTAATCAGCTAAACAGGCTAATGGACTAAGTCTAATTTTTCAGATTAGGAAACTCTATCATATTCCAATTTTGTTAACTTGCCCAAAGTTACATAACTGGAAAACAGCAGAACCTGACACGTGGACACCCATTATACATTGTAGAGAGTACAGGGTTTGGTGTTCTGCTTTCCTTTGGTTGACTCATCATTTCTTCTGAATTTTAGGGTGGTGTGGGACCAGCAGGACCTCCTGGTGAGCCCGGCGAGCCTGGACCAATGGTAAATGCAGAGTAAACATGTTGATCCTATTACATGTGAGCCCACCTTTATGATGTGTTATATTTATTTTCCTAGGCCAAGTGATCTGGTAAGAAATAATAATCTAGTCTTGGAACACTGTACTAAGTTTTGTACTCGAGCTCCATGTTACTTATGTCACAGTTCTTTAGCTCAGAATCTGAATGTGGCGGACAGTACTGAGCTATGTACATTTGTGCAATTCAGCTTTTCTACTGTTGAGCACAAGATCTGAAGAATACAAGATCAAATTCAAAACATTAATAAGGCTTGGATGCCTTTTCTTTGTCTCAATAGCATTTTGGATATTATTGGTAGGGAGAGGCGAGTATTTTTCCACTTTTTTTTTTTCTTTACTATTAGGGTCCAATTGGTGCCCGTGGACCAGAGGGGCCTCCTGGGAAGCCTGGAGAAGATGTAAGTTTCTGTTTCATGCTGCCTTGGAGTTTGGAAGAGGCTAAGAAGGAGCTACAAGGGTTAATGAGAGTGTTCTTACCAATTCCCATTTCATTTTTCTTACCCTTTTAGTTTCCATTTAATTCACTCTAAACTCAGCATAAAATTTTACAAAAATCTGAAAGGAATTTTAATTTTGAGAGTATTAAATTATTACTTATTGTCTCTCCTCATTTCTCCAGGTTTTCCTTAAGATTTATCTATGCAGGGACTGGAAAGATGGCTTAGTGGTTAAGAGTGTGTACTGCTCTTGCAGTGTACCCTAGTTCAGTTCTCAGCACCCACACTGGGCAGCTTACAAGCCTTTGTGACTCTAGAAGAGGGACCTCACATCCTCTTCTGGTCTCTGAAGAACTGCACTCATGTGCATACTCCTTCCCTAAATATACATATAATTAAATCTAAAAGTAAAGTCTTTAAATAAAAAGAAAAGATTCATCCATGAGATGGGGCCACTGAAATGATCTGAAAGAAAAGAATGCATAGCTGTAGGGGCAGTGGACCCTTATGCTGCCATGCCAGCTTGGCTCCCCAGTGCTCAAAAGAGTTTCTTAAATTGGAATTTTAATTAACGATAATATTAAAGTACAATTTTAACATTAATAATATGTGATCAAAGGATAATGTCAAGCAACAGATCTGAATTTATGAATTATTTTCCTATTTTCAGCAAAGATGGAGATAAAATTAAGACTGGCATTAGATTCTACATGATCCTAACCCCCACAAATACAGTAATTTTTGTATTTTGTTTTGATAGTAACTTAGACACATTACACTGGTCTCAACCTTAGAAAAATCATTAGGTAGTTTGTTTTTGTCATAAGAAAAGAAATCGTAAGTAGTATATGGAGAGGAAATACTTCAGTGTCATGTGACCGTATATAATTTCACGACATATAGTTGTACTTACCTACATGGATATTTTGAGATAGGATCTCACTATACAGCCCATGTGCCCTCTGCCTCAGTCTCCTGAGTGTTAGGAGGACAGGTGTGTGCTCTCACACTAGGTTGCTTAAGATCAACCAGAACTATATAATACATGTTTATTGTTTTACTCTTTGTGGTACTGGGGATCAAACTTGGGGCGTTGCTCATGGGCAGGCACTCAACTTCTGAGCTATATCCTGGTCTTCTGCATGTAAATTCTGATATTCATAAAATGACAAGATAGATAAAGTTACTTTAGATCCATTTCTCTTGGATAACTTCATGGAAACTCCATAAACTGAACTGCAGAAAGAATTGTTATCACAAATAGAGCCTAGGTTGTATTTTTACCTTGTTCATAGCACAACACAAGAGTTTGCTATAGACTTTTCATCTGTAATTTGTCATCTAATGTCAGAGAAGGCTGTCTAATCTCTCCAAACCTCCCACCTCTCCCTTTTTTCTGTAAAGGGTGAACCTGGCAGAAATGGAAATACTGGTGAAGTGGGGTTTTCAGGATCACCGGTAAGTTAATGCTTATTAGTATAATGACACAAAGACAAAATAAATACCAGGAAACTGCAGTTCATGGTATGAACGTATTAGACACTAAATAAATGTAGAAACCAAAGCCATGCCCCCTTCTGTCAAAATGAAAAACATAGTAGGGCATTTTTCCAAAAATATAGCTAATTACAATTCCCAGATTGTAGCATTGGAACTACATGAAAGCCCTACTAGAACCAAGAAATTATATCCTAACTATCATACACATGGATATTCCCTAAACTTAAATTTTCAGAAATTAGGAAGTGTGTTCTGAAGTCACAAACCTGACCTATTTATAATTCACAGCACCCGAGTTCTGTTTTTACCTATTTTTTTATTTTATATTATCCCACCTGTCTAAAACAATAGCTTGAGTTTATTGACTTGTACTTGTTGTTGGTTGTTTTTCAACAGGGTCTCTCTAGTCACAGCTGACCTGGAAGTTAAATGTGAACCAGGGTAGCCTTGATCTCGCAGAGATCCACCTGCCTCTGCCTCCTTTGAGCTGGGATTAAAGGCGCAAGCCACCACACCTGGCTACTTTTTTAAAAATTAACTTGTGACACGAAACTGTGGACAGGATGCTTGTTTGGCTGCTCCCCAAGTCTCAGTGTTGCCCGAAATTCTTTATTTGTATTCTGGGCTCTAAGCTCTTGGGACAGGATGTGCTCTTTGCCAGGCCTCCTAACACAGTTGTTCTTCTCCATTGAGTCACTATAAGAACATCCAGGGCAACGCATTCCTCCAGAATTCAGGACCTCAGACCTTGAGCACTCTCGGAGCTCATTTTTCTGACCCTCATGATCTCTTATAGGGCCCCTTTTCAAGATGCGCTACAATAAAATTGGGAAAATTAGAGAATAAGGAAGCAAGAATCCTATGCAAAAATTTCCATTCTTGTAGTATCTGATGCCCACCAGCCCCTTAATGAGTCTGGTCTCCTCATTCTATTTCCTATCATTTCCCAATGTTTCTACACTTAGTAAAACCACCCAGTACTGCATGATCTTCTGTTTACTTTCTGGAAATTGATGAGGTTCGTGCTGGGATTTTTTTTTTTTTTTTAAACAGAATTGTTGATCTTTAACTGGGATTTATAGGGCTCTACGGATTATTTAGTTTCAATTATGAAACCAATCCCCCATCTTCTCACTCTCTTTCCTTTCCTCCTCCATCAGCCAGAGGTCTGAATGCAGACAAAGGCATGAGGTTTAGCCATTTAAACAAATGTCCTTTTCAGCCTCTCCAGGATTGATCCTCCTATGGCCTGCTGCACTCTGGCATGGTCTCATGGTGTGTGTCTCTGTGGGAAGGAAAGGTACCTTGCCAGCAGAGCGCAGATGTACTCTGCAAGCTCACTACAACAATGTGCAATTGTGCTGTGATGACAGCCCTGGGTCAGCAGAATGAGAATTCTTTATGAGAATTCACACATCTGGTTCATTTCCTTGTTATACTAGAATATGTAATCACATGAGAATTTCCCTCACGGACCATAAAAGCTGAAGTTAACTAATTATTTGAAATAACATAGCTCAGGAATTCTCCCATAGGCTTGGATAAGTGTGCACTGAGTTGCTTGCTCAGGGGGGAAGGGACACATATCTCAGTAAAAGGGAGGATTCCAGTGGAAAAACTTAAAGGGAGTTCCTGATATAAAAGAATTCCTAAGCAAGGTTGGATCAACAGAAGAATTTGTGGGACTTCATGTGTTCAGAGAGATGATATGCATGTTTATTGTGATACCCCCAAAACACTAAAGAAACATTTTCCCTTCAAGAAGTCACAGAGGAAATATTACTTTGATCCTATCATCTGAATTTCTTTTATTGAGTTGTTCATTAATTTATTTAGTAATCAGTTAATAAAGACTGTATGGAATGGAAGGATTTGGGCATTCATTTAAATGCTAAAATACAAGAAGTTCTCTGGATAAGTTTAGATAAAGAGCTATGAGACTTCAAGGTTTTAAAGCATTTCTTTAGTCAGTTGTCTATCCAGTGATTATTTATTCATTGTCCACTAAAGTGTTAAGTAAGTGTAAGGCTAAGTGCTGAGGATATTATGGTTACTAACAATAGTTGAAATTTGACAATAATTGATAGCATTGATCTGTACTATCAAGGTGCAAAATCTGACAATAGTGGTCACAGGAATTCACTGCAAAATTCATCTAGAAAATGAGACTAAGTACATGACTGAGTTACTAGGTCACTATCAATTTAAAGGAAGTATTTGGAAAGTGTCTTAAGGATCATTTCAAAATAGTTATATAATTAGTTTGATTTTTGGTTATATTTCTATTCTTTTAATGTGCTTCAGTAGAAGATACATAGGATTAGCAGAAATATGGAAATGAGATAGGAAACCAAGCCATTCTCACATCTCTTGACCTTTCTGTTTGATATTTTATTTCCTCATTTAATTTTTATTTTATAATTAAATTTTTATTCTTTGGAGAATTTCATACATTAGTACTGTATTCATATCATTTCCATACCTCCCTCTTACCCTTCCAACTGTTTCTATGTCCTGATTTCATGTCCTCTTAATTTTGTGACCTCTTCTTGTTTAATTATTATTGTTACATATACAGTATCCATTTAGTATTGAACACTTGGGATTGAATAACCCTTCAGGGAGCTTATCCCTGGAGAAAATTGATTCTCTCCCTCTCTCAGGCAGCCATTAATTGCCTTTAGCTCTTCATCCAGAGGTGCAACCATGGAAAATTTCCCCCACTCACTTTGCCATGTTAGCTGGGGTTGTCATCATGTAGGTCTTGTTTAAGCAATCATATTTTTTGAGATTCCATAAATGGCGTTCTTGTCCTGTATAGAGACCCTATGTGGCAACAGGTGTCATAGTCTTCTGGCTCTTACAATCTTTCTACCACCTCTTCTGCAATGTTCCCCAAACCTTAGGTATAGGGTTGCATTGTAGATGTGTCAATTGGGGCTGGCCACCCTATGGTCCATTATTCACAATATTTTGACCTCAGTTGTGGATTTCTGTAATAGTCTTCAACTGTTGCCAAAAAAACAAACAAACAAAAAAACTTTCAAAAACCCCAGTGCCAGGCATAGGACACATCCTTCTGAATTGTTTGTCAGGATTATCCTAGAGACTCCAAAAACCAATATAGGTTATTGCCACTGCCCTTGGTTACTTCCAAGACCTTGAAGGTAAGTGCCCATTGCTGAAGATACCACACAATTTAATACAGGACTTGGAGATATTGAACTGGAACTGACCTGGAAGCTTCCTCCCTGAGGACCAGCTCTCATAATATTGGGGGGTACTATGCAAGCTGCCAGGGGAGAAAAGCAATGAATAATCCTACCCATTTACTAAGTCACAAACTCATAAAGCTTGTCCTGAGCATTTATTCTAATAACTACTGATTGTATTATAATAGTATCCTCATTTAATTCTGGTGTCAGTGTTCAGAAGCTTAGAAAATAAAAAACCCATTGACTTGCTACATGTACTTTGACTTTTCTATGGCGAATAGAGTACAATGCAAAGGAGGAAACAGTTCTCTTAGTCCTTTCCTGAAGTTTTCTCCCTAACCTGGACCTAGTCAATTTAGACATTACACATGTTAATGCATGCATTTTTTTTCTTATTTCTAGTCAGATAATAGTGATTTCATTTAAAACCATCATTAAATAAGTACCTGATTATTTAATTCACATCTTTGTGTATCATTCTTCTGTTTCTACACAGAGTACATGTTTTGTAAACTTTTGATTACCTAGATAACATTTTGATAGCTAAAAGTATATTATTACTCTTCAATGTGTTGGTGAAAGACTATGTGTCTGGTATCTGCAGGCAAAAGTATATTATGCAATTTTCTCTTTGTATTAATGCTGTGTACTTTCTCCCAGGGAGCTCGAGGTTTTCCTGGTGCTCCTGGTCTTCCAGGCCTGAAGGGTCACCGAGTAAGTTCTCTAAGTCTGTGGTTTATTGAGCGGGGCCTGGGTAGTATTATATTTAGAACCTTTATAATTCCCTGTGTCAATTGTCTTTACTGTTTGTGGTTCAAATATTTGTCATTATTGAAATTGTAATGCTATTTTACATTTTCTTTGAACATCATATGATTTAATAAAGAAAATATACTGTGAGCTTTTATTACATATTTGAATACTGTGTTGCAGAAAAGTATCTCATGATGAATAAGAAAAGTCTCTGGCCTACAGATTCAGTTAATAATGGACACATTTAGAAAAATAGGTAATCATTATATGGGGCAATAAGGGACCTGATTCAAATACACTAGGTTACATAAAGGACCTATACATTGGAGATTTGGAGACTTGGAAGACAATAAAAAGTTCTTTTTATCTCAAGATAATTAATATGTTTCTATTAAATATAGTACATACAAGTGTGAACCAATATATATCATGTGTTTATCATCTATTATGGATATATTTGTATATGCATGTATCTACCATCTGTCCGTTTACTATCATTCTGCTGTCTATCCATCAATCACCTACTCATCTACCATTCTGTTAACTATTATCTATCATCGATCTATCAGTTTATCAGTCTATCATCCATCATCTATCTAGCTAGCTATCATCTATCTATCTATCTATCTATCTATCTATCTATCCATCTATCATCTATCTATCTATGTATATATCTTTGTTATCTATCTATCTATCTATCTATCTATCTATCTATCTATCTATCTTATTATCTATCATCTATCTATCTAATCTATCATCATCTATCATTTACTTATCATCTATCATGTATCATCAATCATCTATTTACCTGAAAGCAAGGCCAATATTACATTAGTATACTGACTAGTCTCTCTTTTGAGTAGTTGATCTTCTGATTAGAGTGTTGCTGAAATACTAGTTATTTTAAATACCATTCTTTTTTGGTATCTACTGGGAATTGGTTCCAGGACAGCATCCACACAATGATACATATTTTTTAAACTATGTAAACCCTGTAACCTGTGTTTCCTCTAGGACCAATGTCAATTATTTTATTGCTGTAGATTACGTTTCTATTAAGTCACAATTTTTTGATGATTAACAATGTAAGCTAAGAGTATTATCTAAATGTGAAGCTCTAATTTTCATTGAATAGCTTTCAAAAAAGTCAACACTTTGGAAATATAGTGAGCAACAACTTTAAATTTTGTACTTGCTTCAAAGGCACTTTCTGAGAATTCATTTTTGATTCTTTTTTATGCTCTTGAAAATTTCAGATAGCAGTAAATATTTACAAGTTTACATTTTCTTCTTAGGGACACAAAGGTCTTGAAGGCCCTAAAGGTGAAGTTGGAGCAAATGGTGCTAAGGTAACTGTTCAAACCTAAACTTAACAATACTGTAGCACTTCATTTGCTTTGTGTACCTACAACTTTTACATAAGCAAAAAAACTTCTGGAGGAAGGAGGGGTATAAATTAAAGAATAGTGAAGTAAATAAAAATTGCCCATCATTTCTACCTTGAATTGATTTATTTATGTAGGGAGAGAAAATATCACAGAAATATAGAGGAGTTTTTAAATGGGAACCATCATTATGGGATACATGTGTGGAAAAAAATTAAGTTCATTTCTAAATTTCCTAAGAAAATATTGCAGTAATTTTTAGCCTTGTAAAATTTTGAGATATGTCAGATATAAACATAATTATTCTTTGGCTAGAATTGATAGCTTTTATCAATCATGTTTAAATTCCCAGTTTTATTTTAGGCTTTATTTCTATAGAAATTAAAAATTCATTTACTTATAAGAAAAGATAGTAAAACAAAATTCTGAGATATTCTTTGAAAGCATAATTTTCAAATGTTATTTTTGGAAACTATGCCTTCAAACTCATGCATATATGGAACAATGTTATTTTAAAATACCATTTAGATTTTCACATTGTGATTTTTCTCAACTCTGCTTTAGGGTGAAGCTGGCCCTACTGGTCCAATGGGTGCCATGGGTCCTCTGGTAAGCACTTTTTATTTCATTGTTTTTAAGATTACATTAAGAACATGTGATAAAGAGATGTCATAGCTAGTAAAGAATCTTAATTAGCAGCTGATGAAAAGCAAACCAAGAAAATTGTACACTTTATAAGGAAATGGGTCCTTTCTGCATTTCACTGCTTTCCTTGACTGTTAAATGCCTGTATTTTCTATGTAAAGTGATCTGAACATTATTGTTTATTTAGTCTTTAAATCTAGGTTAAGTAAAATCTATTTGTATCCGGGGTTTGTATCTCCACAGGTAAAGAGAATTTTACACCTAAATTTTCTTCTGTAAATAATGCATAATATGTTATGCTATTTTAATGTATAAATCTCTTTATCTTTAAGTATATTGCATTTAGATTTGAGGGAGCAGTGAAGTCTAAGCAGCCTAGAATTCATGTAAGATGCTTCAGGAGAATTTCTCTCTCACCTGTAGGGACCAAGAGGAATGCCGGGAGAAAGAGGAAGACTTGGGCCACAGGGTGCTCCTGTAAGTAAACCTGGTATCTCTGATACCATTGAGAAGTACAGTGAATTCTCTTTCAGATTAGTTTTACTGATTATGTCATTTGATTGAGAATAATACCAGGTCATCTATATTTTATTTTGGAATTTTATTTTATTTCAGAACAAGCTTCACATTTGAAATATTAGCCAGCATCGCATAACATTCTGAATGCCGTGAAAAAAATTCATACAACAGCTCCTTCATATTTAATCACCAACATCCTTTTGGCATGTTTCCCCAATGAAATTCCATCACATTTATAGCTGCTGCATCCCCTAAGCTTTCTCAAATACCTGAGATATGGCATCTGTAGCCCATTCCTTTACATTTGTGCTCTGTCTCAGGCCACTGTTGGGGACACTGCTTACCACTGTACTACCACAGTAAGCCAGTCCTGATCCCTACTCCATCTAATGCAAATTCGACCATGAGGAATCCAGCTAAAAAAATCCAATTCATAGTCTGCTCTCTCATAGAACATTTGGCACTAGTGGTCTTTGAGTCTTGGGTCAGTTTTCCTAGGCAACAGCTTCAAAGCACTGACTTGTATACAGGAAATTGACTGGGGAGTGCTGTTCGAAAATACATGTGTGAAAACACGAGTAAAAGAAGCAGAGTTGGAGAGAGGAAACTGGATTGTGTTGCAATTGCAACAGAGACCTCAATAAATCCCATGGGTGTCCTGGGGCTCTTCAGACATGTGTTGAATGGAAACCAAACATTTTAACCTTATTGACCAAGGAAAGGGCAGAATTTGGAAAAACATAATGCCCTTAGCAGAAGGCAGTTGCCAGGGAGAGCTTCAGCTGTGATCCCTCAGCAGGTGTCACTTCCAGCTGATGCAATTAGCATTTCTGAGATACCAAGTCTTGAAGGGAATCTGGGTGAAACTCACAGAATTCTTTCAAACATCATTTTTGTGTGTGCATATGTTTTTATGCATGTTTGTTTTGCAAGGACATTCTGTCCTCAGAGTTAATCTGGCTATTAATAAGGCTAAAATATTCAAATTCTCATTGTCTCTGAGCTTAGATGACAGGTGAATCAGGTAAGATAACAGAATTCTTAATCAGTTTCATTTTTCTCAATTTTTATTTTCATTTATTTAAAAACATTAAAAATTTATTATTTATCTTTATTGTATGTGCATGAATGTTTTGCTTACATGCACGTAAATACACCCATCTGTCCTACAACACACTCAGATACCAGAAGAAGGTGTCGGATTCCCTGAAACTGGAGTTAGAAATGGTTATTAGCTCCCATATAGATGCTGGGCACTGAACCCCAGTCCTTTGCAAGAGTATCCAGTGCTTTTAACCATTGAGCCAGCTCTCCAGCCCCTGATTTTTCTTTCTTACTTCTGCAAGGAGAAATGTGCGTATTGTTACCATACTAGCCTTTTACAAACTTGTATTTTTGTTGCCATTACCTCAGAGACACTTGTTATCAACCTTATAGCGGAAATTGTTTGAAAATGGATTAGAAATATTGTGGAAAATGCTAGCTGATCTTCTTTCCTCTTCTCTTTGTTAGGGACAACGAGGTGCCCATGGCATGCCTGGAAAGCCTGGACCAATGGTGAGTTGTGATGTTTTCACGTTAACTAATTAATTAGTCCATTATTCATTTATATATTTTCATATTCGTGTATTTATTAATTCATCCATTCTTTTATTTATGCATGTGTAAACATTTACAGAGCACCCAATATGTTCTAGACACTGCTATTTTTTTGAAATAGAAAGATGCTAAATTCAGTTATCTTTGAAAACTGGATCAAGTAATCAATATAGGTGTCCAATACTATTGCTGTTGGCTGTAAGGTAGAATACAACTTGAAATGTAGGAATGTAGAGGAGGATGTGTTTAAATCTGTAATAGATGAAGGATGTAAACAGGAATTAAAAAATAATTTTCAAATAATATCTTGAGTTAGCAATATATAAAAGGGCAAGAATGAGTAAATGAAAAATGTGATGAACTCAGGGAAATATTAAGAGGGTCAAGCTGGATTGGCTTGCAGGTAGTAGCTCACACAGTTGCATTTAGTAAGTTAAGGAGTACTTGAATTCTTTCTTATAGTAGATATTGAGAGATCATTCTGGAATATTATATGTAGGAATGTCTTGACCAGAAAGATCATATGCCATTGAATGAAAGGTGGAATGAAATGGCTAAGGCTGAGCAAGAATATCATTATCACAATTCCAGAGAGAAACTATAGAGATGTAAACTAAAGTTACTTTGCAGTGGAAGCAGATTACATATCAATGAGCTAAAAAAAATTGAGTTGCCTATTAGTCTTCTAGTTTATAGAGTTTTGTGCATGATGCAGTTTACCTGAGATTGGAAATATAGGAAGAGGAACAGACTCACTTTGTGGATTTGGGTTTTGGATAGAAAGGAATTATTTCAGTTTTGTTATTGGATGTGTGAATATTTGAATTTTGCCATATACACAATAAATAAAGCTATTGCAGTAAACTTGGATTCAGTATCACATGGGCTAAGAAATGGTGAGGTTTCAGGGAATGTTAATGTCTAATACACTGAGTTTTCATACCTAGTATCAACAATACTACTATATTTTTCTCCAGGTAATCTTGAACTATGTCTTAGATACTGTTTAAAATTAAGAATTTTTAACCCATATTTAAAGATGTAAACATTCATACTTAGTGATAGTAAAATGTAAACAAAGGCACAGTTCTTTAATTTGATAAACTCGTGATATATTTTCAGTCTTGCAATAATTCTCCAATGTGTATATCTTCAATTATTACTCATTAACTGCTGAGGTGCCAAGAGGCATAAATATCTTAAGAGACTTTAGAGATAAAGTGGATTGCCTATAGATAAAAAACTCTACATATTGTGCCAATGACTCAAAGTATAACCCTACAAGCTAAAGAAAGCTACTGCTTTCAAGTAGCTTAAAAAAGTATTTTTTCTCAACTATAGAGTAACTTATTCATACATGTGCCTTCATCATCAAATCACATTACATTAGTAATTCTTTAGTCCTTCAGGAGTGGTGCTCTGGTTTTTAAAAGGATGTTATAACAATGTCTAGAAGAAATTATCCCTATGATTAAGACTAGTTATTCATAAAATATAAATAATAATAGTGTAGCTTCATAACTAAATAGTCTGTGAAAAAATGTATCTGGTTGAAATAGTAAGTTAAGTCAAACTCTGCTAGATGACCTGTGCTAATATTACAAACACCATGAAAGTGTGGGGTGAGGAGAAGGAGACACAGAGAGAGATTGTTTTGGTCATAGGGACCAATTTTAAAGGTTTACATATTTTTTCATATGCCAAAAATGAAATAGAATTATATTAATCAAAGTTATTTAACCCAAGGATCTTTTCCCCCCTTGTTACTCAAAAAAAAAAGAAATGAAATAAGTAGAAAATGAATATATTTTCAGAAGGCTTTTATTAATTCAAAATTCATGGACCAGCATAATATTCAAAAAAGAACTGAGGTAATTTAGAATGAGATTCCTAAAGTCATTTACTTCCAATCCAGTTTACATCAATTATTTAAGCTCTGTGCATCCTATTCAAATGTAGGACAGTGTTAAATATCTGCCTGAAAAATTCTCCAGATAGTTCTGAGGCTTAATTTGAATAGAATGAAGAACTAGACTTGGGCACAAAATACACCTGTTGAATAACTGTCTTTGTTACTTGGCTAAGGTAGACAAAACATATCTCCCAGGACGCAATTGTTTTGAACAATTTTCAATTGTGACTCAATTGTATTGGGCACAATTAGGTAATTAAATTCTTACATTTAATACCATCGGATTTATCTTTGAGCACTACGTTAGATCAATGTTGAAAAATATTAAACATAATTCCATTATTATGTTGCTTTTAAATTACAAAATAGATTATTTCTATCAATCATTAATACATATCCTAATAGGAGAATGGAAAAATTAGCTCACTGCATACTAATTAAGTAGATGTCTGATTACGTTCCTGGTTTCTTTAAATAGGGTCCTCTCGGGATACCTGGCTCTTCTGGTTTTCCAGGAAATCCTGGGATGAAGGTGAGTGTTTGATTACATGAGTCCCAAAGTGAAGGGCATTCCAGTAATTGGAAAGTATAGGAATTTTGCTTAACAAGAGAAAGAGCCTAGAGTAGTATGTTCATGGTATTTTTGGAGCGGGAAATTAACAAAGAAAATAGAAAAATGAAAATCAAAGAATCTATTGTGTTTTGACTCCATTGACAGACTTGAAATGACTATAAGAAAGAAGAACTGAATAAAAACTTTTATTGGATAGAGTATGCAAAGTAATCAGCAACAGAATGTTCTAAACAGTAGGAAGTGAAAATAAATTAGAACTTGTCAACACGTTGGCTATTTCTCTGCCCCTCCCCTATCCCTTAAAGGAGTAAGCAGGGAGGACATTTGGCTCTCCAGGTGGGAATGGATTAAAGCATTCTGTGGGGATTGTAGTGTGTCACAACTAGTTATTTCTCTCAGTACTTTGGGAGAGAGAGTCAAGGATTATAGTAGGAGGATGTTAAGATTATATTAGATAATTCACAAGTAAATTCCATCCACTACTTCCAAATTGTAAGCAACAATATTTTATTTCACCTCACTCTCAGGGTCAGTAACTTCATCTTGAAGATGAGATTTCCTTACAAGATTCAGCTTTATAAAAATGGCTGTACCCATGGTCAATCAACTGGGGCCTCTGTGTCTTTTTTCCTTATAGAATTCTGTCTAGGATTAGGTGTGATAATCTGTATACACCCTTAGTGTTGGTACTGATCAAGCCAATATCCTCAGTGTAGGTTCATGATTCTTGTTAGTAACTACACTCAGATTGGATTTGACTATAGAAATGAAATGAAACTGACATTTCAAATATCCTTTGAAATATGAAAATCTACTTTTTAAGTTATTCTACAGGTTCTCCTTAATGGCATCTTTAAATCTTTACCACAGGGATGCAACTGCTTTCAGAAGAAGTCATAAGTTACTGCAGTAACCAGTCCCTCCTTTCAATAAGAAACTTTTTGCATCTTTTGGGTTCTGATCTTCCTGAAGTGTGCAACTGCTTTTCCTCCTCTTTCTCCTCCTTTTCTATCTTCCTCCTCCTCTTTCTTCTCCTCTACCTACACTCATGTTAATACTATTATTTTTCCTCTTCTTCTTTCTTCTCTTCTCACTCTTCCCCTTCATCCTTCTCCCATTCTTTGTCTTCTTTGTGATACTGGAGATCAAACCCAGGGCTTCCCATATGTTAAGCAAGTGTTAACCACTGAGTTACATCTTTAGCCTTATAGCCCAAATCTTTGTACAACCGACTCTGGCCCCATATTTCCCCCATACTCTGATTAAAACGTGAATTTCCTTTGTCTTTCTGGGAGACTTCCCACAGTCAAACTGAATGCTTCCTAGGGAAATAAGGAAAGGACAGTCCTTGAGCCTAGAACAATGAAGTAGCAGAAAGGAGTTTCTGCTCACCTCAGCTTCAGTTAGACAATTGCTAAACTTCATTAGCAAACAGTTTATACAAATGGTCACTCTGGATATGGCCTGTAGCCCCGCATTTTTTCTAAGACTAATTCTAGGCTACTGAATGCTTCATAATAAAGCTAAGACGTGGCAAACAGTATATCACAAAACTTGTTTTCCTCTCTCTGCTACTCATCATAAAATCCCTGGGACTTTGATTTGATCTCTTTCTGTGAGAATCTACCATAGTTTCTGATTCTGTATGGATAAACTTCTGTACCCAGTCATTTGCACTTCAGTGAAGGATAGTGGGGATTTAGTATGTTTTATTAATACTGATGAACCTCTTAAAGCTTGCAATTTCAGTTTCCTTAGTCTCTGTATCTGTAGATACATGATATGTAGGATAAAATACAGAAGCTAAGCTTGAATTTCAGAAAAACATATGAGAGACTTGTAGTATGTCTCAAAAATTGCATAGAAGAAGCTAACCCTAAAATTGTTTAATTGAATCAAAACTCAGCTACCTATACTGGCTTTGGATGTGCTATCTAGATTACCACATATAATTGAAATAAAGATTACCAGGTCTACTTTGTTCTATAATTAATATTTTAAAAATGCTCTTTAATTCCTAGAAAAAGAAATATTTTATTTATTTTTTGAATACCTCGAGTTTTGCTTTTAGGTTGCCAGAAATTAAGCTTATCAACCATTGCAAGCCTGGTGTTTCCCATGTTATTGAATAAATATTTCTTTGAAAGTCAATAGAGTTGTGTTTTAATAAATCAAATTATATCCTGTATACACTGAAACATGATTTTCTCTAATGCTTTTATAGCAAGTAAGCAATTTTTTGTTTTCTAATGATGTGAGATATCATATATACTTTTATAATGAATTTAACCCTTTCAAAGAATTATTGTCTGAGTCCTGAAACACATTTTAGTACTTCATAATATTGAGTTGAAGAACTATTAGGGAGTTTGTACTCTGGTGATTGAATCAAGTTTTAATTGTGTGGTTGATTGTTGTATTGGAATTCCCCTCCTCCATTTGATTTTCATTGCTTAAGAAATCTCAGCATGCTTCTGCTATATAATGGTGGTCTTGAAGGGACTAAATATTTATTTAAGGGCCAATTGAAAGCAGTCTTTGAGGGAGTAAAGCATCTACTTCTGTTCTTTGAGTGACTTGGTGGTGTCTAGTATAGGGACATTCTTAATTTTTGTGAATTTACATTGTGTTAAATGTATAGCAAGTTAAAAACATTTGGTAAAATGTGTTAAAAAATACTTTGTGATGGTTCAGAGGAGAGGTGACTTAAATTGACATTGATGATTATGTAGGACTTCTATAACTACAGACTGGGAGAATATTCCCAGTAGGAAACCCCAGCGTTATGATATAGGAAAATAAACAGGAAAGGGTCCATTTTGTAAATCAGGCTGACACATCCTCAATAAGCTCTTTTGTGCTTTTAATAGTTTCAAATATTCGAAGATTTAAAATGAGAATCTCTAAATATGCAATCAACTTTATACCAGGATATGATATTTTTCTTAAATTAATATTTCCATTTTTGTGTCTTTAGGGAGAAGCAGGTCCCACTGGAGCAAGAGGCCCCGAAGGTCCTCAGGGACAGAGAGGTGAAACTGGGCCACCAGGTCCAGCTGGCTCTCAAGGTCTTCCTGTAAGTTTCTAACACCTCTAAGAACTAGCTCAGAAAAATGGGCATTAATTGTATCATAAAAATGTAATTTATTTTAATATAATCAATCCTGAATTATTCAAACTCATTAAACAATCATTTTAAATGCCAGTACTACGTTTTTTTTTTCTTTTCTATCTTATGGGAAATGTTATTTACAAAATACTGCTGCGATATAATGGTAGATAAAATTTGCAATTTCCCTGCCTCTTCTTACATGATCTGAACATCTGAATACCACTTCAGATGTGCCAAGATATAGCTCAAGATTTAAAAAACTTTTCATATACATTTTAGGGTACGATGGGAACTGATGGTACGCCTGGTGCCAAAGGGCCCACGGTAAGTAGCAACATTTATGCAAAACAAAGCTTAAAGGGATGTAATCCTATAATCCTTTGGATATTTGTTCTAGATTACTACCTAAGTCCCTGCTCATCATGTCACTCTTACTGTCTGATAGGGCTCTGCAGGTACCTCTGGACCCCCTGGCTTGTCAGGACCCCCTGGATCTCCTGGCCCTCAGGGCAGCACTGGACCTCAGGGAATTCGAGGACAACCGGTAGTGTCTTTTGAAATAATTGTGATCCTTTTGTCCGATCCAATAAAGGCACCTAGAAAAATGATACACAGTGGAACAAAGATAAAGATAATGTGATTTACTTGAATGAGGGAAATGAAGACTGCAATCATTGTTAAAGTGAAATTCAACTCTTAATTTACAATTTTGATGCTTAAATTCTGAGTTGAACATTATTGCAATGTGTTTTATTTTAATGCTTATTTTAAACTAAAATAATAAGGTCTTAATTTCATGGTCTACCTCAGAATTTTATGAATAGTTGAATAATAACTGCTGTGGAAATATTTTACACTGGTCTGGGTATCCATGTAGATATGGCCACACACCTGTTAAAAAAAAAAAGAAATATTTTACAAGTCAGTGAGAGGAAATGTGGAGATTTAACAGGAATTTATACTGCTGTCTTGGCTAAAAACGAGTTCAGCAGCTTTGAAATTAGAGGGTGATTTCAACACATTATTCATGTTGAATGAGTTTCAAAGTTTGGCAGAAATCATGAGCAATATTATAATTAGACCATAAGAAATAGATACATTAAGAACTTGTATATATTTAGATTTTAGATTGGTGTGTAAAAATAAACTAATCTTATTTTTGCTAGCTAGCTAGCACTATTTTAAACAAGCATTTTAGGTTTTATTCAAAGTGACAGGTCATGTTCATAACATTTCCAGTGATGGTGCCAGGCTTATTGAAATATGAGTGTTGCTCATTCACATTCAATATTACCATGTTCTGAATTTAGCTGTTGGTTCTTGCAACATAAACTACAAATAGTATTTAAGGAAATATCTCAAAGGCCCAGAACATTTTAAAACTGAAGTGAACTATGTGAAAAAAAGTTGTCAAATTCTCAAGAAATAAAACGCAAATATAAATTTCACTCCAAGAAAATAAGTCATATCCTAAAATAGAAGTTTTCATTGCTATTTCTAATTTTAATGATTAAATCTGAACACTGAATTCTAGATTTTCTAGTATATATGATAAAAATGGTATAAAATAAGTCTCTTGATGGCTTCTTTAAAGTAAACTGCCTCAAAATTATATTGGAAACTATAAACATTTACACATATAAGTTCCTATGTGTAGTCCATATAATTTACAATTCTATCGGATTTTCAAAGTTTAAACAAAGAGTGTATTTCACACTAAGCAGATGGCTTAGTTGGTAAAGTGCTTGAGGATCTGAGTTAATCCCCAGAACCGACATAAAGAATGCTGAAGGTGGTGGGGCCTGCTTGTAATCTTGGGCCTAGGAAGGTGGAGACAGGCATACACATACCCATGCACCTGCACACAGAAGTACTTACACAGTCACAAAAATTACTGTATTGAATTTTACCACGAACTCAATACAGACTTAGAGGTCCATACACTATATTCAATTAGAGCAGGAGGGATTTGCTGAATTCCCTGTTTCTTAAAACTATTTGTATTTTATTTTAGGGTGATCCAGGTGTTCCAGGTTTCAAAGGAGAAGCTGGCCCAAAGGGGGAACCAGTAAGTCTTTATTTTTTAATAATAAGAAAGGTATAAATATTGCCTGGCTACGTACTGTTTAAGATTCTCACGTATTTAAAATAGCAGTGGGAATTACGGTGTAAAAGAATGATTTAATATACTTTAAATTTTGTGACTGGCTTCATTAAATGAGTTTCACGACTATAACTAATTGAATCTCCCTGGAAATTGTCCTTTTGTTTTAATAGGGGCCACATGGTATTCAGGGTCCCATAGGCCCACCTGGTGAAGAAGGCAAAAGAGGTCCTCGAGGTGATCCAGGCACAGTTGGACCTCCAGGACCAATGGGAGAAAGGGTAAATTTGAGTAATTAAGTGCTCTGTCTCTGTCTGTCTCTATCTCTGTCTCCGTCTCCCTCTCTCTCTCTCTCTCTCTCTCTCTCTCTCTCTCTCTCTCTGCATGTGTGTCTGTGTGTGTTTGGGGAGGTTGTGTTAATAATTTTGAGGATAGTAAGGAACAACAAGAGACTTGATGTGGGTCCTTTCAGAATATAGTATAGTTGTCTATATGGAAAAAGAGCCAAGTGCTTAATCATGCTTCATTCATTTGTTTAATTAGTATTGACTGAATGGTCAATTTAAGCTAGCTTGAATTGTAAGTGATTGGGATACATCAGTGAACAAGAAGCTTGTGGTCCTTATCCTCATGTGGGTTGTAGTGAACAGATTTAATTTATTGGGATGATAAATATGTCAACAGATAAATAAAACACACATTTTAATAAGTGCCCCATATACCAAATACTTGGTGACATGGCAGAGAATAACTACATGTATATAACAGTGAAGGGATGTTAGGTTTGGTGGAGAGGAAATAGAGTCCTCTGAGAAGCAGCATTTTGGCTAAGACTTGAAGGGGACAAGCCAGCAAGGGAACTTTGGAGAAGGAGCTTTCTCAGTTGAGGAGGCCAGAAAGGACTTAGGAATTTTAGCAGAAAAGATTGATGAGAGTGGAGTATAAGTACACAGCCTTGAAAGGGACAATACTAATTTCATGAGTGTGTAGAGCTTTAGTGAAAGCCAAGGTCTTCTCAAAGAGGGCAGCAGGAACACATGCTATTGTTAACATTTAAAGCTCTATGGATGGTGATTTTGCCTGTCATACCAGCATATTAATTTTTGTGGCACTTATATTCATTAAACTTTTAAATTAATATTTTCTAGTCATGTACCTTTTCTTTATATTTACCTTTTGCTATGTTGGTTTGATCATAGCTCTAAAATCTTTACAGTATCAAAAATAAAAACTACTCACTAATTAGAATACATAATAATCAACAAAAATTAAGAGTTACATTTTGGTTCTTTGTAGGGCGCTCCTGGCAATCGTGGATTTCCAGGATCAGATGGTTTACCTGGACCGAAGGTGAGATCACACCAATGCACTCACGTGTGCACTGTTCCAAAGGATGCTAATTTCTAGGATGGTGATGTGTTCCTGACTTATATGAGTCCATACACAGAAAGGAGACAGATGCAAAATGTCAGGCCTTGCCTCAAACCCATCTTCTCTATTCTTTTCTTTTCACGTTAAGAGACCCTGGGAGATGAATAGTGATTTGAATAATGTGGGGATTTACTTCCAAACTTTCCAAAGTCATTCATGGAAAGAAAAGGTTGTAGACCTTTAGTCTAGATGATATGGTTTTTAGATGGAAATTTAGTCTCAAAATCTTTTCTTTTTAATATTAATTATTTAAATGAAGCTACAATTTCAGTTTTTATTATTTATTGATTGTAAATCTACTATTTTCACAAGGAATAGAAGTTAGAACAAAACATTGGGTGGCTTTGTTTTCTAAGAGGTCTTCGTAGCTTCTTTGACAATATAGTTGCAGATTAGTATGTATTTGAAAAATAAGACTTTAACCTCTTTCTCCTTTTTTTTCCTATAACCATTTTTTCCTTTAAAAATTATGACATGTGTTTTCTGCGGAATAGGGTGCTCAAGGAGAACGGGGTCCTGCAGGTTCCTCAGGACCCAAAGGAGGCCAGGGAGACCCAGGTCGTCCAGGTGAACCTGGCCTTCCAGGTGCTCGGGTAAGAACACTGTAGTTACATGCTATGAAAGCACCCAGGAAAATTTCCTTCATTAGTTGAAATTGAAATTTTTATGGTTAGCTTGATTTTATACCATATAACATTAGTTTTTATGTTTTGACTTGTTTCATTAGTTTTTAAATACTGGTATAATACTTTTTTGTCCTGTATAGAAAACACCTTAATTTCTAGATTCCCTTTGTCAATGGCGTATTTGAGAATAGCATTATCTCCTGTCATGAGAACAATATTAATTTGTAAATTTTTATGGTTTTTAAAAATTTCATGCTAAAATTTTCATGCTTGACCTTTGGCAGAGAAAAAAATTATTTTCATTTTAAAAAGTCATGTAAAATTTTATTTAAAGAGCAGAAAAGATTGATGAGAGTGTAGTGTAGTGTAAGGAAACATCCTTGAAAGGGAAATTGCCCTTTTATTTAGTTAGCAATGCAGTATTTTTTCTCTTTACTTCAAGTGCAGTTCAGCAGGAGAATAACAGTTAATTTTCATTTTCAGGGTCTGACAGGAAATCCTGGTGTTCAAGGTCCTGAAGGAAAACTTGGACCTCTGGTCAGTGATTTAAGTAAAAGTCTGCCAATTTTAATGTTCTCAGTTGAATTATATTGCATTTATTTGATAATGTAAATGTTGCTCATGATTATGTATTTTAAGTGCCGGTTAAGAACCAATTCTTGGGACCTATGCATTTTCAAATTTGACAAAAAAAAATGGCTTAATTCTTATTGATGTAGATATTTGAAATTGAAATTGCTTTAGTGAAAAAGTTGAAATAATGTGTTTCAATATTGGTGAACTTTATTTAACAATAAATAGTCTCATTCCCTGATGACTTCCACTTTTATATGTTGGAGAGATAAGCTGGTATATATGTTGGCAGTCCAGGTATTCTGAGACCTTTCTTTATAATGAAGCAGGAAATAGGAATCCTAAATGTTCTGTTCATGACCACAACATGTTGTGAGTGAAGAGAATATCCCCTTGTTAACATGGAAGGGTGGGAGATGTGCCAAGGAGGCTTGTAAATGAAGTAAAAATAGAATCTCTGTTCTAAATACTCAAAGTACTTAAGTGTTTTGTAAAATCCATTCAAATTTTATAATTCACTAGGATACAAACAGGAAAAATGTTAATTAATATATCTTTTATGGTTAGCAAAGGCAATCAACACTGTGGGTAATACAATATTTAGAGAGAGCTTATGACTGATTTACTAGTCTGCTGTCAATCTTGCAGGGTGCACCAGGGGAAGATGGCCGGCCAGGTCCTCCTGGCTCCATTGGCATCCGAGGGCAGCCTGGGAGCATGGGTCTTCCAGGCCCCAAAGGTAGCAGTGTGAGTACAATGAAAGATGTTCAATATCTCATCAGAATCCTCACTTGGAGACCAAGGTACATACGTATGTATATTTAAATTGAATGAATCTTTGAATAGTTTCCATTTATTCTTTAGGGTGACCTTGGAAAACCTGGAGAAGCAGGAAATGCTGGTGTTCCTGGGCAAAGGGTAGGCATACACTTATGGTGTTGAATAAAATATGTATGAAGCTATCCAAATTCTCAGAGCTTCACTTGACAAACCATCTCTATCCCATTCTAGGGGGCTCCAGGCAAAGATGGTGAAGTTGGTCCTTCTGGCCCTGTAGGCCCCCCGGTATGTGACCTTTATATCACACATATCCACTGTACTTCTCGGTGATGTTTCTTCAATATTTTGCTTGATTAAGTTTCAGGGGAAGGGACTGAGAATATAAGGGACTGGAGATGGATTTCAACTGTGTCTTTTCATTTGATTTCTTGTGATCTGGTACTTCATACTTTTTTGAATAAAATATGTAATCTCATTTTAAACTATAAAAAGGAACCCAGTGGCAAAATCTACCCTATAATCTTTATATACCACAGTAGAACATATTAGTTGAGGAAACTAGTGTTTGAGAAATATTTTATAATGTATTTTATATAAAAATATTTAAATACAGGAATATCTTGACT